TAATCTTTGTGGTTGTTTCACTGAACGATGGAATTCTTTTGCTAGCCAAATCTTGCTTGCCATATTCATGTGGATAGTGCTGATGTCCAAATGTGGTCAGAAGGCAAAGGGAAAGATAAGAAACTTTCCTCCTTCCCCCAGTCACATCCTTCAGATATACGAGTTTACAAAATTTTTACTGCAAGCCTTTAAAATGGAGCCCAGTTTGTAAATACCCAAGTGAAAACAGTGAGATAATGTATGTAATGTGAAAGAAATATTTATATATAATACTAGTAAGTTAAATAATTCTTTAACTAAATTAAGCTCTTCAAGAACTATTAAACTATAATAGACTTTACCCAAATTTTAACATAAGCTGTATGAATGATTCCAGTATCTGCAGCTGTGCCCCATGTTAGGAAACTGGTATGAAGTCTGAGGTGTAAGCCCCAGGACAGAGCTGTTCTGCTAACACAGTGACTAATATAAAGCCATGTTAATAAAATCTTGTAAGGAGGTGAACCCAAAGGTGTCACCCTTCTGTTAAACCAGATCTAGTAAGCTTTGAAAGATTCTAAAAGTGGGAGGTTGGGTGGCTTATCTGCTTTTGATACCATTTCTTAGCCTTGTTTTCTGCTCTAACCTATTGCAACTTTGAAAGTGCCTTAAGGATTACAAAAAGGCAGGGAAGTAGGGTTTGTGTTGTAAAATAAGAATAGAGTTGTAAAGGTGTTTTGGAAATCTGAGACAAAATAGTCCATAGTATTTGGTGCTTTCAATGTCATCAGCATAGACTTGATCCTACCCAATAAACTTTCCACAATGTTAGGTCTTACAGTTGCCTCTGGCAATTGCCTGTACCTGAAGTCCACTTTCTAAATGGAGCAGGTAATATTTGTGTTAACATATTGATTTGGGTATTACCTGCTCTTATGTGGTAGAATTCATTTTTGAGACAATCTTTTCTCTCAAACAAGTAAAATAACTTCAGATTGCAATTTAAGAACAGATAGAACAAAGATCATTGCTGTATCTTTAGTAAATTCTTGGTATTTACAAAACTGGTGAAGCTCTATGTCCTTTTTGATTTCAGTGGATATATAACAACTTTGCCTGGAAACTTTACAGTGCTTTATTTTTATTTAGATGTTAATAATGCTGATTTTTCATCTCCTTAGGCTAATCTTTCCAGTTATCTCTGTTTCAGTTTCACCATATGTGTCTTTCAGTCACTAATCTGATTTAAACTGCCACCAGAGAGGGATATCTGAAAAAAAACCCACCACTTTATATCCAGAGATAACAGTAACACCCCTTCTGGAAAGTCAGTCTTTTGCATCTTTCTGTAACTGGGCTTGTGGATTACAGAATATGAATGCAAGGGTATTAATGTGACTGATATCAGGATAAAATACAGGTTCTACCTCCAAGTGAGAGTGGTGTGTATCTTTGATTTATCTCAGTGCAGTGACAGTATTACAGCCAAGCCTAAATTCTAAACTGCCCGTAGGCAGTTCCACATGTTTTAAATGCATTGGTTTTACCTTTCATGCTGTCATACATACAACTTGGCTATCCTTATGTCAGGACACTTTCCTAGTTCTATGTTGAACAGCCTGTGAAATAAAAATGTATTCCCCAAGTGATGAACAGAGGACTAATTCCAAAACAATTTTCTTTCGCTTGCTCATCTTGGAAATCAATAAACTAAAGGGGTTTTATGTTGGAAAAGGAAAGGAATAGAAACCCAATTACTATTTAGGCTTTTCTTGGAGAGGTGATATTATGAAGCAGCTTGTAGGAAACTGCAGCTTTTGGTTTTAGGCAAATGGCATTCTGTGTAAAGTAAAAGCTCTAACATTCTCCCCAAGATTTTTAAGGACAAGTTTGTAGCTTCCGGATTCTATGTGCTGTAAATGATTAATGTGTAAGCAATTTGGTCCAGTTCATTAAAGCTCTTGATTTTTGTTTTCTTCCAGGTTTTCACAGTCAGCTCCTTGATTTAGAGATGTTTTTTCTGTTGTAAGCCTTACTGTCTTTTCACTCCTCTGTCTTTTTTAGTTCACCATAAATTAATGTTCAGCCTTTGGCAAGCTATATTTTTAAAATGCTACGTATTTTAAATGCCTTTTTTCTGTCATACCTGTGACTAAACTTGGTCTTTGGTCACGCTCCTTTGTGGCTGCCATTTTCCACTCTGAAGGGAGAATTAGGACTAAGAAAGAAGCAGAAATTCTATTCTTAGAATCCTTTTTCCCTTGTGAGAATCCTCTGGACAGCTTTAGTTTAAGGGAATATCCCTGCAAGCCGTGTTGCTATGTGTCCAGGGTACCAAGAAGCAATTTATTTTGTAGGCAGGATAGAATGAGGAACTTGTCATCCCAGTCTAAAAAGGACACAGAGCAAAATCATCCTACCCCAAAGCAAATGGAGGTGTTGTGGGCCTGAAATTCTTGGGAATTTCCTGCTCTAAAAAAGCAGTAGGTTAGAGGCGGTTAAGTGCACAGTTACGTGGTAGATGAGACTCCTCCATTGTCAGTGATGGTAGCTAAGGACAAGGTACAGCTCTACAAGAAGGAAAAGATACAACCTTTCAGAACCTTTGGAAAGCAGAAGCTTGCTATTGGTGTAGGGTGGTTTGTGAGCAAGAAGAGTTCAAGTCCTCCAAAGAATGAATTAAAGAGAAGGAGACACTGTGTGAACCTCTTGCTACGACTGGTTAACAGTACTGCAACAGAAACCGCCGCACATCCCTTTTGTGACAGAGGTCACCACACTTCCAAGGGGGATGTCAGTGACACCTTCAAAGTCAAAAGTTAACAGGGAGAACTTCACTTCTCCCTGGAAGCAACCATTGCCAAAATAACTCCAGTTACTTCCCAAAATGCGACTTGCGCAAGAAGGTGCTAGCAGCTACAGATGGCCAATGCATGCACCTTGATGGACAGGCTGTTTATAATTGCCTCTTTCCTTACGGAACTGCAGGAAAGATGCCTGGATGTGTTTTCTTACCATGGAATTAGATTTCACTAATTTGGGAAATGCAGGTCTTAAGAACTGCCTGTGCAGAGAAAATTGGTAATGAGAAGCATGTGTTCTGCTGTAAGTGTTCCAGTGAACTGTCTGGAGCAGAATGCAAGCCTGGATTATCGCAGTGTGACAGTGTTGTACAGATGCAAACCTGGTGTGCCTTTAACTGTTTTAACCAACCAAACCTGGTTGGAACATCAGTGTATTTGCAGGGTCTCTAGTTAGATTCTTTTTCCCCTTCCAGGATTTTATATGAAGGCAACTTTTTCTGACCCATCTGTTGGACAAGTTATTTCTGAGAAGCCTTTTTATAGTTTTGATTAAGTCAAACTTCTTAGTCTTGCCTTAAAAAATAAAATACTGGCCTTTGCAACTGCAGCTATAGGAAGGAAATATAGTGATTTAGCAAAGTGTCACCTAATAGCAATTAGCCTTAAACCCAAATCTATCTAATATGTCCTAGATTGTAAGTGGAAAAGGACTTTTGGTTCTGAATCTCAGTTCTAAGTCGCATGTCAGCATACAACCTACAAAACTGAAAAAGGATTTCTAGGGCAGTGTACATGAAATAAAATTGCACTTTTCATCTGCTAAGTGTTTTGCTTTATTTAAAATTGCTAGTTTTAAGGTTGCAAGAAGTTGGACAATTATTTTATGTGGATTGTTTCAGCTGAGCAAGGTTGCAGTTATTGCAGAATAATGATTTTTTTAGTGATTTTTTTTTTTTTTTTTTTTGGTAGAGGGGTTCTATGAGTTTGGTAAAATACTCCATAAAATCCATGGTTAAATAGAGATGCTACTTCCTCTTCCAGCAGAGATATTCATCCCAGTTTCATGTTTCCCCACATGAAAATAATTAGCATGTAATGTTAATATTTGTAATAGATTCATAAACCTTAAAGGGAGAAGGGTATCCTTCATGTGATCCTCAATAGATCACTCAAGTGTGGTCAATAATTCATTAGCAGCAATCTCCGTTCCATTTAACACTTACCACTAACAAGTTTTTTATCCTTTCCAACTGTACCAAGAAGTAGTCCAGAAGGTTGAATTGTGGAGGAGGTCAAAATAACACCCAAAATAGTTTAATATAAAGGTACTCAGCAGAAACCACATCTAAAGCAACCTTATTTTTAATACAGAACTGTAGTGTGTTGTGTAAGCCTGTCTGTCCTGGCTAGTTGAGAGGCACAGTGAGGAGCCCTTCAGTAAATACTGTAGTAGTACCATGGCCATTAATGAATTTCTTTCCAAATATTTCTTAGAGCTCATTGCTCAGAGCAGCAGGAAATGTGTCCTGCTTGTAGGAGTAAAGAGTGAGAAAGAATGAGAAAAGTACTTTTACTTCAGAATTTTTAGCAGTTTCTGACCGGCAGTACATAGAGCTTGGTGAACTGGTGACTACAGTTTGTATTTCATCTTGGTTTGGGATGATCACTTTACTATCATTTGGAATAGCTGTTCAGCCTGGAGAAGAGAAGCTGTGTGGAGACCTCGGAGCACCTTCCAGTATAGGAAGGGGGTCTACAAGGAGGCTGGGGAGGGACTCTTCATTAGGAACTGTAGTGATAGGACAAGGGGTGATGGGTTCAAACCGAAACAGGGGAAGTTCAGGTTAGATATAAGGAAGAAGTTCTTTACTGTGAGGGTGGTGAGCCACTGGGGCAAGCTGTCCCATCCCTGGCAGTGTTCAAGGCCAGGTTGGACAGAGCCTTGGGTGACATGGTCTAGTGTGAGGCATCCCTGCCATGGTGGAGGGATTGGAACTAGATCTTAAGGTCCTTTCCTACCCAAACCATTCTATGATTCTATGAATAGTGAATTATGGCCAAATTCTATTTTTACTTGCATGAGGAGTTCCACTACTTCCCTATGCACATGAGGAAGTGTAGGAAAAGGAAATGTTCCTATGAATACTGCTGTATTTGGCACAACCTGAAATACATTTAGTGGTTTTAGCTTTTCTAGACTGAGAAATCAACTCTGAAAGCAAACCAACAATAGAGGAGTTCATGATTTATTTTTTTTAAAGCCACACATTGTCCTATCTTATTCAGAGCAGAATTTTTCCAACAACCAAATTCTATGACAGTCTGGTTTTCAGAGTTATGTCATAAAAATTATAGTCAAATCTATTATGGTAGTCTAGACTGCTCACAAAAGGGGAACTCAAGGGAAAGAGTGGAGATTTTCTCATGGAAATAGATAATGGGAAGACTAAAATGTTTCATCTACTTTAAATAAGTGTTATAGTCTATAACCTTTTAGAATAGTTTAGTTGCTTTTTGGAAAGCACAAAAAAAGAGGGATACAATAAATTGTTCCAGAAGAAAATGTGCTATTGTTAGTCCTGCTCTGCTGGGGTGGTGATAAGAGCTTGTAAAAGCCGTGTGTTATTTCAGAAGTAGTCCAGAAGCAAAGCTTTTCTTCTCTCCAACATGTATGCTTGTCCTCTATGGGAGAGATTAATAGCTTGTCACAGAAACACAAGCCAAGCTGTCTAGTTTAGCTGGAATGAAAGGATTCCAATTTCTGAAATCCTGAATGGAACAGCTTTTCAAAGTGGCAAACAAAGACATCTCCTTGGCTGACGCCGTGTTGCCTGTGGTGGAGATCAGGGAACAGCTTTACAAGCAGGGCCTGGAGGAAGGATTTGTTTGAATCTTCCCAGCCTGACACTACATCTTCCTCTACCTCCTGACACTGGGTGGAACAAGGTGCACGTGAGTCAAAGTCTGCAGAATCAGGTGAGAGATTTCTGTCAAGAACTTAATGCTATGCATTACAGCAGTAATTTGTGAGCCAGGGACCATTGCAGGTACAAACTGGGTCTCAAGGGTGACAGGAATTTTTTCATGTGTGCTGGTATTTGGGTCACAAGCTCGATGAAAGGGGAGAACACAGCCCATCAGGTTTGGGAATGGAAGCTGTGAAATGTTGCAGTAGCAGGGTCATCCCTTGTGACTTCTGGTAATTAGAGAAAATTCACTGATTAATGAGGCCATAGTTTCACATACGCTTTCAGCCAGCACTGAAATCTAACCTGACAAAAGTGATTAGTTTTACCCTGGATATGGATCACTGAGGCTGTAGAAAGCATTTTTTCCAGTAGAGATGGGCATGTAGCTATGATTAAGTGGGAAGAAGGGGGTGACAGAATTGCCTTTCAGCAGTGCAGGTTTATAATGACTTAAACTGTATAAATCCATGAGTTTGGAATACAAAAGCCTAAGGGGGAATAAGGCAATAAAATGTATTCTCTTGCTTTTGAAGCTTTTTACTTCACTTAAACCCTTACTCTACCCAAACTCTTACTCAGATCTTCTGCTGTACCTGCCTGTTTAGATCAAATGAGGACATTCCCAGGTCAACAACCATCTGAGCAGGTAGTGATGTTTGCCCTTCTTCCTTCATACTGTGCTACTATTGAAATATAATGCACTATAACTCCCCTCAAAAGGCTACAACTAAAAAACCAACTGACATACAAATACAAATAAAGTCATTTCAGATACACAGGGAGGTTTTGAGTTAAAAAAAAAACACCTAAAATTCACAAGTTAAAATTCTTTGACTTTAGGGAAGTGTTTTTATTTTCTCAGTGCATTGTCCAACATATTCTTTGGGCAACACCATTATTTAAAAACTCATTAGTAGATGGAAATGCTTAGCAGCCTGGATTGGTGGCATAAAGATTAAACTGTATAGGTAAATATTGCTGGTGTATGTGATAGAGAATTGATACAAATGCCATGCAGAGAATGCTGGATTTTCCATAGTCCACAAGAGGTTACTAGAACTGGGCCAGCATTGAGAAAGCCAATAGGAAATAGTTCTTGTGTGTGGAATATAAAATGTATCTCAAGGGATTCATGTGAGGGAAATTTCATTACTTGGAAATGTAAATCTTAATACAGTAGAAACTGTAAGGGGGACAGTTCTGTACAGATTTGGTCATTTCTCCCTCTTTTTTTATCTTTAGTGAAATGATTCTCTTTAGGGAATGTAGGTAGAGTGAAAGTTGGTACTTCACATACTTCTTATTTTAATAGGAGGAAGGAACAGGGAGAGCAGTGAAAAAGCTCCTGATTGTTCTAAGGTAACATTTGCAGAACATCAGTTTCCCAGTAGCTAGATGAGATTGGTGACACTGACCGAGTCTGGGTGCAGCCCAGTGATCATCAGAAATGTGATGACTGCATCAGAAAGGACACAAACGTGTGATGAGACAGGCTGGAGGTCAGGAGTCAGGGAAGTCCACTTCAGCTGGGGAGAGCAGGGGCAAGACCATGCACAGACCTACCTACACAGCTCAGGAAAGGACTAAGGGCTTCAGCCTGAGTTTAAATGGGTCAGAGCACAGTGTGTGTGGGTTGGGGTCTCAGATGAGGCTGTTCAGGGCAATTCAGGCCTGTTGATGCACTCAGAGTCCAAATAGACTCTTCACTTTTCTAGGTAACTTCTATTAGAAGAATTGCATTTTATATGGGGGGAAAAACACCCTACTTTCCTCTTGGATTAAGCTTTAGCCACTTTAATTTTCACCTCAGTAGAGCTCCCTGTTATAGACAGATTAAACAGTGCCAAGTGCTGCTCTCATTAAGAGCACCTGAACAGCATATTCTTTGTATAAGGTTTACTCTTCCTATTAATTGAGGTTAATTGTAGCTTTGCAGTAACTACCCACAAGAGGGGAGGAAAAAAAGTGTTTCTACCTCTGAGCTATACTACTTAAAGTTTTCACTAAGAAGGTACCATCAGTTTTAGCAGTTCAAGGGACAGTGCACCCCCACAAAGCCAAAGATGATGCTATCTCCCCAGAAAATTACCCAGTCTGAAAATAATGTAGGAAAGAAGTCTCACAACATTCACACAAAGTGAGAGTTGAGAAGTCTGAATGTTGGGTTCCCCATGTTTGCAGAGGAAATATCTTTGACCTGAAACTGTGAAGTCACATGTTAGCTAGAAGATGACTGTCACAACAGGTGAGATCGCAGCCTTGGAAGGCATTCATAGAATCATAGAATCATAGAATAGTTAGGGCTGGAAAGGACTTTAAGATCATCCAGTTCCAATCCCCCTTCCATGAGCAGGGATGCCTCACACTAGACCATGTCACCCGAGGCTCTATCCAGCCTGTCCTTGAACACTGCCAGGGATGGAGCATTCACCACTTCTTTGGGCAACCTGTTCCAGTGCCTCACCACCCTCACGGTAAAGAACTTGTTCCTTATACCTAACTTGAACTTCCCCTGTCCAAGTTTGAACCCATTACCTCTTGTCCTATCACTACAATCAGCATAGTTCAGAGAAGCTGACAAGGCTCCAAAGGAGCAGTTTTTGTTCTGGGTTTGGGTTGGGTTTTTTTTCCTCTCTGGAGATTGTACCCAGCATTTATCAATAGAGTTAATTTCATTTTGTATTTCTGCTCATTGTTCTGAGATAATAAATTGTCTCTGTGGCAAGAGTTGCTAAAATACTGAAGTATGGCATTTGTTTCCCTTCCTTGACTACAGAAAAACCCTTTGAATAGTAGTCTCTGACCCAAGGAACCTAATTTCATCAACTATCATAGAATCATAGAATAGTTAGGGTTGGAAAGGACCTTAAGATCATCCAGTTCCAACCCCCCTGCCATGGGCAGGGACACCTCACACTAAACCATGTCACCCAAGGCTCTGTCCAACCTGGCCTTGAACGCTGCCAGGGATGGAGCATTCACAACCTCCCTGGGCAACCCATTCCAGTGCCTCATCACCCTTACAGTAAAGAATTTCTTCCTTATATCCAACCTCAACTTCCCCTGTTTCAGTTTTGGCCCATTATCCTTTGTCCTATCACTACAGTCCCTAGTGAAGAGTCCCTCCCCAGCATCCTTGTAGGCCCCCTTCAAATACTGGAAGGCTGCTCTGAGGTCTCCATGCAGCCTTTTCTTCTCCAGGCTGAACAACTATAAATGCTGTGACTTTTGTTCCTTCAGAAAATAAAATGGAGGACCTTGGAAAGTCCTTGGAACTTGCTGCTGACCAGCCTGCAAACTCAAAATGCCTCCTATTTCTGTCACAGTGCTTCCTATTTTACTACCTTATCTTTGTAATGCTCTTCATGCTCCCTTTGTTAATACAGACGTTTTTAGTGATATTTTGGAAGTACAGTGTTATGTTACTTGTACTGGAAGAAAACTTTCCACCAAATGTTCCTGTATAGGTTTCTGTAGCCTGGAGGGGAATGGTCAGCCAGGTATATAAGGAAATACCCAGTAACAGGGGTATTTTACTGTTCAGCTCTACCTTGTTTCTGAAACACTTGTAACTCTAACCATCATTATTCTTTTTGTCAGCCAGTACTTTGTGCTTTCCATTTTAGCAACACTCATTGCCAAAGAGCAATTTCACTTGTAGATCCTCCTCCTATCTCCTGCTGAGTTAAACTTCTTGGTCTGTTTCTGATCCATCCCTTTCCCTCTTCTTTAGAGACCATGGGATCTGAACTTTGAACAAATCTTTTCCCATTTGCCTCTTTGTGTGGTTAAAAGCCACCAGAATTTCTGGTTTATAGAGGTTCACCTACCACAAGTCTACCCTCAGATTACTACCAATGTGAAATTACAAATTGCTCTTTGAAATAAAAGTTGAGTGTTTGTACACCAATGTTAAGTATGCTGTTGTTTTACAGTTCAGTACTCTGTCAACCGTGTTAGGGTAAAATTCATGTCCCATGAAGTTCCAAGCCTGTCCTGTGCATGTGGGCTTACAATCACAGTGTAGCCTTAGCAAAGGCATTACTATATCCCATGTGTGTAATTTAAGGAGAAATCCACTGAATCTTCTTGTCTCAGAAGTTGTGGGGAGATGGGATTAGCCAGAAAGTAATCTGGTCCTAATAGAATGAGATCTGCTGTCACACCTGATCTCACATTTGTGCTACCAGAGCTCAAAGACAGTTTTCCACCAACTGCTTTTGGGCCGGGATTTCTCTCAGTAGTGTGACAAGGTTATCCATCATCAGTTCATTTCTGGGTTTATATGGTCATCCTTCATGAGATACAAAGATACCCTCTTGGTGCAGTCATTGGAGAAATGTCCCATGCTACTGCTTTCCTTTTAGTTGACTCCTGAAGATACCCGGTTTGTCTTTTTGTATGCTCTGCTTTCTGTCAGCGTCAGGAGATCACCACTGACAGGACACCTTGTGAGAAGCAGAACCTCAACACCAGTTAACTTCTGCTTCTGCAGAGTGGAACACAGTTTACTCAGCAGGATACAAATTTCTCTTTTCTAGAGGGCAAGTACAGTGACTGTGGTCTGTTTCCACCATGCAGCCCTATCAGTACTGTTACATGTCACTTAAAGACATTGCTAATCCCTGGTACTACTTTTTTTCAGAGCTGCCAACTAAGCTTTTTCTATGATCATTTGCTAATCCGTTTAAATCAAAATGAGGTGAGTTACTATAAACAACTCCAGTAGCAGGTATACACCACTGCAGCTCACCTCAGCAGAATGTGTTAGAGAAACTGTGAGTTAGGTGGAGATACAGTCAGGATGAATTCGTATGTCCTGGAGATAGACGCTTCTGCCTCAGCTGCCCATTAACTTCCTGATGTCTCTGATTCCCTCCTCAGCCCTTTGTGGGATGATTGAAATTGTGAAGGCTGCCTTCAAATTGCCTTCCTCAACAAAGCAGCTCTTCAGAGGAGGAGCAGTTACATTTCACTGAGTCTGTGCTGCCTTGGTTGAGTTTTAAGATGATGTGCAATGAGAAGGTGGAGATGTGCAACAAGAAGGTGGAGACGTGCAATGAGAAGGTGGAGATGTGCAGAAGACAAGGACTTAAAAAGCTTTGTGTACAAAGAATGTATCTGTGCTATTTGCTACCACCACATGTAGTCTAGACTTTGACAATGGAGCATCAAGCTCCATTTCCAGAGAAATACAGTGTCCTGTCCTTTTCTTCTGTATTTTCAGAAACCAGCTGAGCAAGAGTTGCTGGCTCTCAAAAGCTACACCAACAGGTAAACCAAATCCTCTGGCATATCTTCAGAGGACCATTACTTGACATGAGATTGGATCAGTCAATTTGAAGGTGTATGACTTTCAAAAGGCACTGTTGAGCAACATGTGCTTGCCTGCAGCCTGCTTTGAGAGGGGGATTTGAATGAACCGTGGCTTCACAGGACAATAAAGCTGGTTTTAGTGCACCTAGGACTGAGTCAAACCGGAGCGGACTCATGATGCTAAGCAGGGCTTTATTCGAGTTCACTCTGCCAGACCAAATGTATTATTACTAACATTTTGCTATGCTGAACATAGCATGTCTTCCTGCAGCAGGCAGAAACACCCCATCACGTGTTCAAGCTAATGCAACAGGAGTAGGTCATGAGGGTCAAATATGTACTGCCAGGTAAGCTGAGATCAGTGAATTTAGAGCCTGATGGTTGTTAGTGACAAGTGGGAAATTGTCTCCTGTGACTGTTGACCATATTACTGCTGTCCACTTCAACCTGGAAATGCTTTGTGGCTGCCTGTGCTGTTCAGGAATTAAGGCTAACAGCCCAGCTATCCATTCCTGTCATAAACCTAGGATATTCACCCTACAAAATGGTGTTATCATACTATAGCTTTGGAAACACGGAACTGAATTTCATTAAGTCCTTTAGTTATGCTGATCTGTTTCTTTGCAGCGGTGAGCAAATACCTGTTATTTGTGGTTTTCTCTGTAAAATTGTAAGTATTTCCTTCAAAATAGTCTGTTGTGAAATGTCCCAGACTAAATGTCCCACTTTTTAATCAGAGTCTTTAGTTGGACTTTACACCTAATCTGCTATAACTAGGGTTTGTGTGGAAAAGCACTTCCACTGCTGGCTGCATATTCCCTATTCTCCCCTTGCAGTGGATCTAGCCAGCACGTGACAGTAGAAACCAAATCAGTTTTCCTTTCAGATCAACCTCTTGAACTGATCTGCATGATCAGTAGATCTCCTGAGGGCTGGAGAGTCAAGCACTACCTGAGGCTTTGCCTGCAGTTGTTCTGGATTAGAGGAATAATCAAGATGCTCTTACTTTGAACATTTTAGTTCAGGAGTTTGTGACTTAGTGGAGGAAAACATTCCTGCTTCTGTATCCCAGCCCATTAGACCTGGCTGCTGCTTTATTTTTCATAATTATTTGGTAAATTAGTTGCTATTAAAATAATGAAACTGTTTGTGTTATTTACCATTTTTTCTCATGTTATTAAGCTGTAATTTGACCAACAGATACGAGCATAATTTACCCTATGATTGCTCAACTTTTAATATGTGCTTCTGCAGTGATTAACAGCTATAAAAAGAAGTGGTTTGCCCTGTAAAGTGACATGATGTCATAATATTTCTTTGAAAATCTAAAATTAAGTCTCATTAAATCCTATAATTATGTAGCTATAGGTTATCTTTGGAACTTAAGAAATGGAGTTGGGTAGCTTGATTCTTTCTTTCTGTAGTATTCCAAGAACTCTGTCAGTATTGTACAAGAGCACCATCATGCTTTGCAAGAACACAAGAGAGATTTCCCCTATGCTGTATTTCAGTGTCATTCACTTCCTTTGTTCCCTTTTCTTTCCAAGAACTAAGGTTTTCCAACAGCTTTGTAATAGCAAGCAAACAACTGCTATGTTTCAGGAGTGTGTATTCTTGAAATGATGAACCCAATTTATCTATATGTAGTGCCTATATTTCTGGTTGTTTAGAAAGATGCTCTGTAGAACCTGATAACTCACAACTGTCTCCGTCATAAATGATTTACAGAAGTATGCTCTGAAGTATGCCTGTAGACAAACTGATTCAGTTGCAAATATTTAGGCGTTTTTGGCCTTTAAAACCTCTTATATGCTGGGTATGTCTGTTTGACTCGGCACTGAAAGGATGTGCATTTCATAGATGCTATTGGAAGATTGGTTGTAAGCTATTAGGGTTTTTTTGCTTTAGGCAAATATTTAGAGCTCTTGGGTTTTTCCTTGTCAAACTTGCTTTAAAGGTTTGATTATTTTCTGTTTCTTTTCAATCTTGTTCTAAAATAAAGTGTTGCTTTCTCCCTTGTGAGTCTAACCTGAGTCGTGGTACTTCTACTTTCTGTTACTTTCTAAGGCACAAGATATTTCCGTAATTGTGTTTCCTGGCATTTCATTGTCATAGATTTACCTGGCAAAGTTAAGTTTCACCACCAGGTTTATAGCTTGCATCTAACACTGTGGGGCCTTTTCATGTTGGATTCAATTTTGCAGTGTTGAACAACTTCTACTTGGTATTTGTAACCAGTTGTTACAAGTATACAAGAAGCTTAAAACAAAATGTTGAATCTATGTATTTCCTAACTTTATCATAGGATTATTTGCTATTGGCATGTGTATAATAGATTTTTCCAATGCTATATATTATTTTAATGTGGTTTTTAGAACACACTATTTAAAGATTATAGTGTTTTAAGATTGACTGCTTTTAGGTTAGAGGGATGTATAACAACACTATGTGAATAGGTGATTCTCTGATTCTGTGACATTACAATAAATATTGTGATGAATATAGTGAAATAAATGGTTTGTGCCATCTACTGGTCTGGATAGGATCTGCATTGCAGTTCAGAGCCTGACTTGTGTCTTTAAAGTGTAGGTACTGTGTGATAAAAGAAGGAAACTCACCATAAATAGCATGTATTTCATTATTATGTCTTCTCTGTATTAAGTGCTAAATAGCAGTAAACACGATAATGGAAAGTTTGAATTAGTACATGAATCTTTTTCCCACCCCTGCCTTCCCAACCATGCCAGGCAACTTCTTTATGCCCGTTCTCATAGAGACTGGAAATGTTTCTTACAGGCGGGTCAGTTGTATTCTAACAGAATTTAATGGCCAAAGTTGCTGGTGTGGAGTGGACTGTGCTGTGCATGTGAACATGGTTTGTCTAGACATGTTAGAGGAAGTCAGATCTTTCTATACTAATCATAATTACAATATATTCCATTCTCACTTTTATTTGTAATAGAGTATTTAACCCCCCCCACATTCTCCCTTATGGATTTTCTCTGATGTTTATGTCAGTGGTAAGCCTGTCAGGATGGGGAGACCTTCACTATAGCACAGTGCAGTGTTACATAAGGCCTTTTAGCTGAAACCTCTTTGTATCCTACAGCCTAATAATAGGCTATTGTGTTTCCTGTGATTTTTATAAAGCTCAGATGCCTCATTCAGTTCTTACTTGTTTCATTATCATCAGGGTTATCACTCTGTGTAATACTTCTTGTGTATATTCTGGTTATAAATATCACTCTGCAATGAGCTTTGTTCCTTTCATTGTTGGTTTTTACTTATTTATCTCTCAAGGGCATAAACAGGGGATCCACAGATGCTCCAGTGTCCCTCTAGTTATGGTTCTGTACAAAGGGAGTCAATCCAAGAAAGAATTAGTGGTAAGTAAACCCCCAAACTTTACAAATCAGATAATTATATGCTTCAGTATCATGTTCAGGGGTCCAGATAGTCACTTGCTTACATGAGCAAAGACTCAATTTCAGATGGAGTGTAGCCTGGAAATGTGGAAGCTCTGGGTCTGCTTCTAGTAAAACACTTCCCTTCATATTGCTTCAGTTTACCCTGTCCATAAGATATGTATTTACCTCACTTGCAAACAGCTTTTAGCTTTGTTGATTAAAAAATACTGTGTAACCAGCAAATAATGTATTTCACAGCTGGTTTTGGTACAAATTATAGTTGATCTAACTGCACTAATTTGAAAAGTTGGAGGGGCAGAAGATTCAAATCCTTCAAGTTCTAGTTAATATGGAATTACCTAAATGCATATCTATGTATTAATAGAAACACATTACCTGCTACAAACACAGGAACAAAAATTACACAGTAAATCAGTTGATGTTAGATTGCACTTTAAAGCCTAAATAGCAATTTAAGCAAAAATAGTATTGATTTCAGCAGGGCAGGATTTTATCTAAGCATGGAAATGTGGATTGAATGCTGTGATGGAGAAAGGTATTAAAATATTCAGCTTTTCCATTTTTGCTTTCTTGCAGGTGGATGCCCAAAAGAGTCATCTTTGCTTCTTTGTGACAGATTGCTCTGCCTGGGAAAATGAACTACAGCAAGTGCACAGTTAACATGAATTTTCATGGGGGGAAAACAAAACAGGTAATTGTTGTGACATTATAGCTACTATAATCAGAGCAATGACTCATTCAAGTGTATAATTGCCCATGTAACTTGTTTCAAGTCAGTTGGGTTCCAACATTCTCGTTTCTATGTACAACTCTTCTTGTCTGTGTATATTTTCCCTTCAAAGTCCACTGCAATTTGCTAGTAAGGATATTAGATATGTTAGGGGAGAAGATATCAAATTGTATCTAAGAATGCTGCAGCTCCATGGCCCCAACTTCAAGCAGTAGCAGGGCTGACACTGTATTTCCAGTAGGACTCTGACACATCTCACTTCTGTCACGAAACTCCTAATTCCTACCTTCCTTCTTATCCCCTCTTTAATGGCTTTTCTTAATACTCTTCTCCTTTTTGTAATACATAAAAGGCTATAAATCTGGGTTAGATTCACTGCACTGAGAAGTATTACAGACAGCAGTTTGGGCAGAAATCTCCATCTAACCTACTTTGTATTGCTGGAAGAGAAGAATGTGCTTTTTCTCTGGGCAAGTTCAAACCCACTTCCTAGTTTTGAAGCAAACTTTCACCTTCTTTAACATACTAAACATGCTTGTCTGCGATCTCTGCAGTTATACTGGAGCAGAGGAAGAATCAAGATGCTTTAACTATGAACATTTTAGTTCAGGAGTTCTTGGCTTAGTGCAGCAAACTGGGAGAAAACAGCTATAGGTGATCCAAAATGTGCAGGTTTATACAAACCTTCTCTTGTAGATACAAGAAAATCACAATTATTTGCAAGTAGTGGTTTTCAACATACTTACACAAGGGTGTTGCTGGCCTGAGTTTCACAGGGCGTGCAGCTCAGTCTAATTCTGTGGATTTACACATACCTGCACAGTACACGTGCACCTATTCGTTGCAAGAAAAGACCCTCTAGTTTAACAGGAACCATTCTTTACCTAGTTTCCAGGGAACTCATGTCAGATGGAGAGTGCTTTTTCACTAGTTATTGTGTTTCTTCTTCTTAAATTACAAAAGTATTTTCTGTTCCTCCACATTTCAGTCTTGCTGTCATGGAAGAGACGGCTGTGTGAAGACCTCAGAGCAGCCTTCCAGTATCTGAAGGGGGCCTACAAAGGTGCTGGAGAGGGACTCTTCCCTAGGGGCTGTAGTGATAGGACAAGAGGTAACGGGTTAAAACGTAAACAGGGGAAGTTTAGATTGGATATAAGGAAGAAGTTTTTTACTGTGAGGGTGGTGAGGCACTGGAATGGGCTGCCCAGGGAAGATGGGAATGCTCCATCCCTGGTGGTGTTCAAGGCCAGGTTGGACGAAGCCTTGGGTGACATGGTTTAGTGTGAGGTGTCCCTGCCCATGGAAGGGGGTTGGAACTGGATGATCTTAAGGTCCTTTCCAACCCTAACTGTTCTATGATTCTATTCTTTGATTCTATTATATGATTGGCAAAAGTCCCCCTCCAGCTTATATACCCTATGTGTACATATGTTAGTAAGTACATATATTTAACACAGCATGGACCAAGTTTCCTTCTGAGTGAAATGCCTTAATTCCTTACTGTATGGGGTGTTATTGTATGTGCCCCCAACTTAGGTGGCTTGATAGTGGTTTCGGTAGTATTAAAAAAGCCAGGAATTAAAGCAGGACTTATCCTTAGACCATCTTGCTGGAATTCCAGGAATGAAGAGACAGAGGTTGTCTTCTGCTAGGTACCTTCTTCTGATCCTTCCTTCTGGGTAGGCATATCTTGAAAGCTTTGCTGACTAAGTTTTGTATTCCCAAAAAGAATAACTATCCAACAGAACCCAGACAGAACCCCCCATGTATACTTTCAGAGGTACAAGGTGGCTCACAATGTAGCCTGCTGACAGGGCCAGCCGCTAACATCTTTGTGGTAGGACCTGGGCTCCTTCCAGTCCAGGCACTACTGAGTTGCACTGTCTGAACACTAAATAACTGTAGGTAGGATGCTTCTAGCAAGTCCATCCATTTCAAGACAATGTGTTGGTAAATGTATTGCTTTTATGTTCACATTTAACCCTACCCTCAAGTCCTTGTTTTCTGATGGCATCTTTTACTTCATTGTTTCAGTGATGGGTCTTCCTTTTTTAGCAAAGGGATGTAAAAGTGGTACCTGTCTGTAGACAGGCTTTGATACAGGAACTGGCAGGTTCTCATTAATCCCAGCAGCAGGGTCCCAAGGTCTGCTACTGCTGTAAAAACATCTGCAGAAGGATTCCTGACACATAGCAGGCTTTCTTTTAGTTGAGACAAGAAAAGAAGCAACAACCGCCGATTCCTGACCCAGATATGTCAGCACACAGCTTATTTTGTATTGGCAGGGTATCCAATGGTGCTGGGGAGGTACTCAAGGATGCTGGAGAGGGACTTTTCATCAGGGACTGTAGTGATAGGACAAGGGGTGATGGGCTCAAATTTAAACAGGGGAAGTTCAGGTTAGGTATAAGGAAGAAGTTCTTTACTGTAAGGGTGGTGAGGCACTGGAATGGATTGCCCAGGGAGGCTGTGAATGCTCCGTCCCTGGCAGTGTTCAAGGCCAGGTTGGACAGAGCCTTGGGTGACATGGTTTAGTGTGAGATGTCCCTGCCCACAGCACAGGGGGTTTGAACTGGATGATCTTAAGGTCCTTTCCAACCCAAACCATTCTGTGGTTCTGTAAAGGTGACTAGCATGATGAAGGCCAGCTAGGATACTGCAGAAGGCTATGAAGAGCCAGTTACAGTGGATCTTAATACGTCCTATCATTTAGTGACAAGGTTAAAAGACAAGTTAAGTGCTCTTTGGGAGGAGAGGTTATAGGATAATACTGGTGTAAGAATTAATCATAGAATCTAAGAATTAATCTCAGAATTAATCATAGAAATCAGTGTCAGTGGAAAAATATGCCCTTAGAACAGCATCATCTGTGAGTACAGACTTCCTGAGGCTATAGGGCCTCTGAGGATCAGTAAAACAGAGAAAAGGGAGCTATGCTCCCACCTCACATGGTGGTGCAGTGTAATGCCCAACCACCAAATACTGGACCAGATTTCAGAAAGGGGATCAAACAGATGGAGGTGCTCCTGGTTTTGCATTGGTGAGAGCACTCAAAGGGAGAGAGTAGTTCCGGGCTTTATGGGAATGCTTTGTTTTGGGAGAGTCCATTAATTATTGTGGATCACTAATAAATAGGGAAGTTGTTCTGGAAGCAATGGTTCCACCATGGACATAACCATCTGGGCTTTGGTAGGCGCTGTTCATCCTAAGGGAGTTCTGCTGACCAGAGAAGGGATGGTAGAGCCTCGGATTCCAAGAAGTCTTATGCTGTTGTTCCCTGTGAGTAAAATATTCACTGCTGTACTGAAATCAAATGGAGTTAATCTCTTGGGATTGTGTTTTGTATCTGAAAGCACAGTGGAGGCAGAACACTGGATGTGGTAAGGCAATAAAATGTGTTATATTCCTACTGTCATTAAACCTAAGCATTACAATGGCTGAGTCTCTAGGGTCTAACAAGCTAGGGACAGCCTCCCCAAATCTTGCATCAAACCCTTCTCAGTCTCATGTCTTCCTTGAGATTGTGCATATTAGGAGGGAAACTTCCCCAACCCACTGCATGAAACCTGTGTTTTGTGTGTTTTACCACCTTCTGTACTGACTGCGCAGCCCTGCCCTTACCAGCAGTCCAAAAAAGTGATCCCAAGCTCCTCCTTTGACCTCATGGCTTCTGGTACTGCTTTTACAGCCAGGTCCTTCACATGCCTGGGATGTTCCAGGACAACAGGGAGCAGATGGCTGGATTTTAAAGCCCAGCTAACTCAGAGACAGGCTGCTTGCTGCTCCTACAAGCTAAAAGGAGCTTAGCACATGGTCCAGCCCTTTGAGGAAGGCTCATGTTAGAAGAGAAGAGAAGGAAAGGGTGATAAAGGAATGAGCATTGTTCAAAGCAGGCATCTGATTCTCCTAGTTTTGACTTCAGAGCAAAGCAGACTGCATGGTCTGAACAGTGGGTGCAGCCCTGCTGTTCCCATGGCTCTGCCCCTCTTCTGCCTCCCCTCTGTGTATGGGGGGGCTAATAACACAACCAAGCAGACACTGCCTGCTCTCCCTGGGGGTCTGACAGGATAGCGAGTAGGAGCTGGATCTTCCACATACCAAAAGCAAAGGTTGGGTGGTAGGAAAGGGACAAGTGTGTGTGTATCCTTAGGGACAAGTGCGTGTATCCTTCCTTCTAAAGTTGTCTTAAAACATGGGGGGTTATGAAGAAACAGATTTGTGGATTTAAGACATTTCTGCTCCCTTCAGCACATGGCTCTATATTTGGGGCCCTAATTTGCAAAATCAATCACAGATCCACGTGCCAGTTAAGGGAAGAGATTTGACTCCAAAGATGCACGTTCTCAGCATGCTCTGTGATTATGACAAAGTATCTGGCAAAGAGCTTGAATCTCCTTGGTTTATAGGAACTGCAACACAAATCTCACGGGAAGCTGGATCAGGGTCTCATTTATTTGCAGCAGGAACTGTGCAGCAAAGCCCCTCCCACGTTTCATCTCCTATTGGAATTCTTTCTCTTTTTGTCTTACGGACTTTCCTCGTCCTCCGGTTGTAACCGTGTGCTGGGAGCACCGAGGGCTGCTGGAATGCACATGAACACGGCACAAAGACAGGGGCTGCACTGTGGAAAGGTCAGGCCAGCCTGTGGCACACAATGAGGAGCAGGCTGGGCAATGGAAATTTACAGCCCTTTAGCTGGGCTGCAGATCCCTTCTCCTGCAAGAACCGCTCGGCTCCTTCGGAAACATGATACCTGCTGAAGAGATTCAGTGTAGGAAAGACTGTGGTTGCAAGAGGCTGTATTTATTTGAGGAGAGGAGGAGAGTTTGGGGTTATCTACCAGATCCTTTTGGTAAAGGAAACTTGCTTTAATCACCCCAATCTAAATCTACTCCTTACAGCATCAGAATCTGCAAACATTTGTGGTTTACCACTGTTTGTTCACTGAAAACTGGCATGATTTTAAGCACGATAATTCAGCAGACAAATGATAGCACAATGAAAAAAGTGATCTACAGAAGCAGGAATGGGCTTTGTGAAGAGCTGGCTCCAGTCTTTATTCCTTTATGATGTATTGTATTGGAGCGTACATAGGCAGTTATGCAAGAACATTTGCTTGTAGCTATTTGTGTTTCATAAGGCTATGGAGTGGTGAACGCTAGTGTAAACCACTCATTCATCCACAAGCAAGGGCTGTTTGTCAAACAGCTTCGCTTACTGTACATGATATGGAATTCCTCTTTCTTCTCACACTAACTGCTCTTAGGAGGCACCCGTTCAATGCTGCTGAGTTTATTCCTACATGACATTCTGGTAAGCACTATGGCAAGATGTGGGTGAAGGGTCATGACAACAGGCCAGCTATTTAGCACAGATTCTCTGTAAACAAATCACTGAATTGTTTGGCCAGCGTGAAGTAATAATTCCCCAATGCGTTCTGAATGAATGAGCTCCAAAGCAGTTGCATTAATCAGTGGGAACCTCCAAAATGAAAAGGAAGTATAGAAAGAAAACCCTGTGAAAGGCATGTTACAGTTGGAGCTGGAGCTGTGGGTCATGCAGCAGGTTTGGGGGCTGGCTCTTTGGAAAGGATGGGGTTCACCTTACTGTAAACTGACTGTTGTTGCCTATATTTCAGTAGTGCCTTAAGGCTGAACTCTCATTCTAACAGGTCTTGCCCTGTGACAAGCATATTTTTCTGTCATGAAATGTATGTACTTTAATGAATACAATGTCCTTACTCCCATTTTGAGAGTGTGAGGAACTAAGGGTCAGACATACCAAGTGACTTGTAATCAGCATCATGAAGGGGTCTGATAGAAGCAAGCTCTGGGCTTTGCTCTGCTTCTTCAGCTGCAAGACCCTGTGCTTCCCTGCCCCTCTTCCTCTAGTTGGAAATGGTCATCCACAGCCATGTCATGTAGCTCAGAGGTGTAACTGCTGCGTGGGGTGCACAGATGCTAGGCATTTCTCACCGCATCTATACTTCTATACCCTCTATACAGCTATGCCTTCAGAAAATCAACCTGGAAAGTTACTTCCAGTGGAGAAAGACCTGATGGCATAGGCTGAGCTCTTTATTTAGACGACTTAGTAGTGAAGGGTTACATTTATCTATCCTTTTTCTTATTCTATCATTTGGCTTCTTCAGAAACACTTTCAAAGTGTTCACAAAATGGAGCTTTTGCCATAGTCAATACCAAAGACCTTCCTGCGAAGTATGTTAATTTAATTCCTGATAAATGTAGCTTTTCCTCTTTGCACACCTTGTAATGATCCATATGGTTCTTTAGCAAATACACAAGCTTAACCCACCCACCCCAATCTGTTCTCCCAGTGATGAATCTCTGCTAATTTACAGAGGCAGTGATAAGACATGGAAGGGATCAGGAACTTGCTGATCTTGGGAGCCCTGGGAGCCCTAAACCAGCAGTAATCTGTTCTTTCATGAACCTGAAAGTGGTGTGGCTGTTGTGCTTACATACACCCAATAATATTGACATATTTTATGGTGGTTTTAAATACCTGCATCTTTGTAGAAACTCTCTTACTAAAAAAGATAAGAGTTGGAGCAATCCAAAGTTTCAGTCAGACAGGGCACTTTGTCAGTTCAGAGTGATTTTAAAGTACAGGGCAACCACTATGGTTATAAGTCTGTGTAAAGTACATCGCTGAGGACTAAACTGTGATGCAGCAGACACAATTCAAACTACAGCAGTCTAAGTTATCACCACAGATGTGATTTACAGTGCTGAGCAGAGTAAGCTGATAGCAGACATTAAATTAAACCATATAGACAAGCTTTGGGAATATACTCCACAAATGTCTTGCAAACTATTGAAAAGTAGCATTTATCACTTGCTACTGTTTTACACCCCACTGCTTTGTGAGAAGCAGTGTGTTACTACTGAATCTAGGAAAGAATTACTTGACTCACTAATGACATCCTTATGCAATAACTGCCCCATTTCAAGCATGACTTCAATGCCTTTATACAATGCTTCTAATCTGCTGTTTACACAGACAGACAGCTTTAGACAGACCAGTTCAGGCTAATTTAAATGGCTACCCAGCTTTGTGGTAAAGGGAGCAAGAGAACTTTCAGACATCAATCCAGCTCCAGGCTTCTATATTCATGATCTGTGCTACCTGTGATTCTTGGCCTTAGGTCTTCCTCTTGAACTGCTCCATAAAATACCACAGTGGTAAAGTCTGTGAGTGACCACCAGCTGATCAAGCGGAAAAAGAGCTGAAACCAACTTCGCAGTCTTGTTTCTGACCATTTGAATGCATCCTGCCTGCTTGTCATGAGCTCTATCCCCATATCAGTGAGACAGATAAAAGTATTCTGAACTCAGTCTCTGTCCCCATTTACTTAGGTAAGTATCTAATCATACACATTTCCATGAAGGCTGAAGTAAAGACAACATTTAACACTTCATTGTGAAGCCTCAGTACACGCAGGGAAGTGTGCTATCTGAGAAACCCACAGGGCAAAAAATTCCAGGCCATTTAACCCCTTCAAGAAGCTTCCTTGCTGTGTGGGGAAGCCCATTCTCTCATGGACTTACATCATGTGGAAAGATAACTTTGTCCAGCAACCAGATGGCTAAAACACAATGAGCAGAATCTCCTTCTCCATCCTTCTCTTTTATGGGCCTGACATGCAAATTATTGTTTTATTTGAAAACCTGCTTCTCAGTTCTGGGCTGCCCTTGGCAGCATCACCACAAATCTACTGTAGTACAAGCTTACTACAGAAAGGTATGTCAGATTTGCAGCGTAGAACACTTAGAGGTGATACTGAAACATGCTGCTTAGCCGAATGCACAGCTCCCATCAATAAAGGTAGATGGGAGAATGATCTTTTGGTGCTCTTTAGAACCTTGGACAAGCTCTGAGAATGTTTGAAGGCAAAGTCTGTTTCTTAAAGCTTAAACAGTGCCAGATACCTTCAAGACAACACAAGAAATAAGCAGCATACTAATGAGTGTGACTTCCCTGGTTCTGAGCAGGCTCTGCATGCTGCCAGACACCATTTGTGACCTGTGTCACGACTGTTTCAATGGGGCTTCAGTTGCCAATATTAGCACAGGCTGCTCTCGGAGTAACTTGGATACTATCTGTGTACGTGAGGTTGTTTAGTGTGAGCCTGGCAGAGTGGTAACGACTCGCAGGGGTTTGTTTGTTTGTTTAGCTTTCCTTGGGATGGCAGAAGGTCATCCCTAGTAGTAACACTGCTGCTGCAGTTCACTTTACAACACTGTTTTGGCTATGGATTTTACTTAAAACCCATTCCTGGCCTATAAACAGCCACAGGTGAAAAAATATAACATACTGGTGCTGATTAGGAGTGCTCTGTGACCTACTTGGGAGAGGTGGAAGGGATTCACCACCAGTCTCAGCTGGAAACTGTAAAGACTGTGTTGAATTTATCTCCATAGTCAGTTATCTTCATAGTCAGAAATCTTGCATAGGGTAACAGATTGTCTGGAGGTAAAAAACTGTATGTATTTGGATGGAAGACTTCCAGCCTTTTAAACTGGGTCCCCACCTGAGGATAACCCACTCTTTGTATATTCTTACATATTACTGTATCAGGAGCTAATAAGTGTGATTTCATTTGAGTCAAAAATGAATACTTAACTCCAACTGTTTTTAAACAGTTAGTATATGTGCACTTGGAGCCAGGAACCTTGTAAACCAATGCAGATGTCTTCCTGTGTGATCACGTTTCAGGTTTATCTTCTTCCCTACCTACATCTCCTTAGTGCTTTAAGGATTTTAACACAGCAATATGAAAGACCCTGAAATTGAAAGTTGTTTCATAATCTTTGTGCTTCCTATAATAATATTGGTACACTATACTGGTAGCATACTAATGTAGTATTATGTTACAATACAATAGATTGTCCACTGGGCCTATTATGTCACAGTGTCTCCCATAATATTCTAAATGCCCTCAAACTCTGCACTCAGCACTGTGGTGACAGCAGGGCAGTGAAGGAGTTAGAGCAAGACTGGACATGCTCTGCATTGATAAACCCAACACAAAGGAAGAGACAGTAGCTCGGTTAGCTCTGCATGGCACTATGATGGGTCTGGGAAGCAGCAAAGCCTGGATTTCCTTTAGGTTTCTGGCTCTTCTTTAACTGTCAGTGCCTTTCTGTTAATTGTAGTATTTGGTACCCACACATCTATGGAGTTTGATGTTTGTATTGCATGCCAGCTTTTAATGAACCTAAAAACAGCTGCATCAAAATACAGTCACACAGGATTAAAGTCAGGTTTTGTATTATTTGTTGTTAGAGGACACCACAAAACGTTGTACTTGGATTTATAAAGAAATCCAAGCGGCTACCTGTGGGGCTGCACTGCCCCTCTCTTTTCAGCACAGGGCTGGTGTTCTGCAGCTCTCCAGTGTTCTCAGACATAGAGTAGCACAACATCCTCTGAGCAAATGCTTTAATAGGCAGGGAATCTGGTCCCTGCATTTTAACAGAGCTGGCTGACCGACCCGTGTCATCTTCTGTTGAGATTACTCATGCTTTTGGCAGAGTTCTCCTGAGCTGGCCATAAGGCAGGTGCAAATTAACACTGTAAAGTATTAACTTCAGCTCATTTTGTGACTGAAAAGCTGGACAGCCTTAATCTGAGCTCATGTCCATGTCCTTGCCTGAAATGATTTTGAGTTTGAGGTTAATAATGTGTGTATTTTGAAAGCACTGGATTAAAAGCACAATTATTGCAGCATTTTTATACCCGCATTGAAAATGGATCCCGTCACTTTGAAAAGAGAAAAACCTCTCACACCAAGGGATGTGACCCTAGAAGGTGTATTTGTGTGTAGTCAGATCCAAGTAAAATTCAATCCAAAGGGGCAACAGCCCAGGATGAAACCTGATGCTAATTGTACATAAATAGCAGACGGACTGTCTTATGACAGGCTGTAATCAATAAACATGCCTGTTGTGTCAAATCTGCATGTCAGGTATCCTTACTGGGACAAAGTGTTGGGCTGTTGTGTACACCTGGTGTCTCCTGGCTCTGCTGGTGATTTAGTGTTGTTATGGATTTATTCCTCACAGAGAATTAGTTTCTAGTTCTTTCCACCAAACCGAAGATCTGGACTGAGCAAATGAATTAAACACCGTTATGCAGATGCAACACACTGTATATATATACATATATATATATAGCTTTGCTCAAATAATTTATGTGCAGAAGTACATTCTTTGAACAAACCTTCCCCCCCCCCATAAGAAACTGAGGATCTTTTGTTTTGTCCAATTGGTACTCATTAGAACACTTTATAAACCTGGGGTTAACCTTGGTAGATACCATTCATGCTTCTTTTCTATGCACAATGTTACATGTCCAGAATTGTTCCAAAGGCCACATGAGTTTAGTAGATAAGATTTTTCTTCAACAGGGAGCAGTTTGGTGCTTTTTGTGATCACATCGCCAATACTACTTTAGGAATTTATTTGGTGGGTTTGGTATATAACAATTTCTTATTGTTTGTAGCCTCAATTTCTTGTAGCTCTAATACTAGAACTGCTTCTGGAACTTAATATGTAGATATTATCTTTTTTTATTAAAAAGGTGTTAAGCTATAAGACGACCAGCATGGGGAAGAAGTAGTATTTGTGGTGGCTCCAAAGAAAACAGGAGAACAAGAGTTAAAAGGAAAGGTATGTTAATGGCTATGGAATGCCAGATGTGTGATTTCATTCAAATGAAGAGGAGGAACTGACCTAAAGAAAAGGTGCCAAGAAGATGGGGAACTGAACTAGAGCCATAAAACATTCTGATAAAGAAAAGCTGGTGCTTGTGGATATATGAGAGTATGAGTGAGTAAAGTCTGTGTAGTCAGAGATTATTTTTATTAATAAATGCTATCTTCCTTTTTATAAGATCTCATAAACAATTTTGCTACCCTTCCTGGCATGTAAGAGGTCTTACAAATTGTCTGTTGTTATATATTTACCATATGAGCACATGTGTTTCTGTGGCTTGCAGGTAGAGAAGCACTTGCTGGTAGTTGGTACAAAATCAGCCAGTCACCTTGCTTTGGTTTCTTCTAGCATGCTAAGAGAAGCTGCTTGTCTACATCATATCACTTTACCACTGGATGAACCAGAGGTGTTGGCTCAGGAGCACTGAAGAACCTCAAATGCCTGCATGCAGGTTTAGAAGTGGCTTAGGAGGCAAGCTCTATTAAGAGGTGCTCCCCCATATACTAATTACTAACACTGCTCTACTTTGACTTTGGAGGATGCTTTTTGCATACTATGAGTTTGGGGATTGCTGTACATATCCAGTTCTCAGCTGACATCTAGGTTTGCATCCACTTCTGGCAGTAGCAAAAGTCATCAGTAATCAGTCTTGAGGTAGTGTAGGAGCTAATGTATTATTCTCTCAGAATATCCTATATTTTTCCCCTTTTCCCTGGTCTTGTTTTCCCCTTTTTCATGAGTGCCAGGTGAGGTTCATTCAAAACAGAGCACTGATGAGGGTCCCAGAAACCTGTAGCAGCTGCAGCGGCCCTTTGGCACTTTTGAGGAGGGTATAAATAAGGTTTGGAGGGTACAAATAAAGCTTGAAGGGTACTCTGATTTGGGCCAGGTAAGAAGTTATCTGGGATTGCAGGAATCCTTAGGGATTATCCAGCTAAATGTCTAGTTATTTGAGAAAAGCTTTTGTTCTCATTTATACCACCAGTTATAATTTTGCCTGCCAAATCCCTTGTTTAAGACTGAATTTACTATAATTTCTATATTAGATCTGTTTTCCATTTGAAATCATAAAGTACCAAAAGCAGTAATTTTCTTCCCTCTTTTATTCCAGGCAATGCTGCAGTCTCTTCCCTGGCCCTCTGAGGAACACCTCAAAGTGCAGTGCTCCACATCAGGCTTCATTCATGACTTCTTTTTTCTTCTAACCAGAGAATCCCTAAGCTGTATTTCCTCACTTCCCTTCTCTCAATAGGCCATTTTCCTTTCTCACCTTCTCACATTACTGTCCTGGCATTCTCTTGCATGTGATATTTATATAGTTCTTAGCTGTAAATGGATTTCTTCTGGACCTTGATGGTCTGGGAGTTGCGTTACACTTCAAGGTGACTTTCTTTGTAGTTACAGCTGTGATCTGTCTGCTGGCAGCAGAGAAGTCCAAGCTCTACCCTGTTATTGTCATTTGATGCATTTTCCCTCTGGACTAAGGAAAAGAATTCCCTTGGAACAAATTGTTATTCTTGGCCTAAAATCATCTGACAGTTTCTGATGATCACATTGTGATCCACCTCTTTCATCCAAACACATGAAGAAATCATGTTTCCAGCTTGAAACTGTTAGTGCTTGGTTTTTGGTCTTCTGGGATTGTCAGGATCTCGCCTTTGCTTCTGGAATGAAATCCTGATCTAATCCTGAAAAAGGAGTCCAGATTAAACTGACGTGTAACTTGCTTGTAAAGCTTTCCCTTTTCACATGATAACCTGATTAGAACTGAGGCAGTGTTTTATATTACCCACATAGAAGAGATTTATGCCAGGTTCTTGCCTCATGGTGTGTTGATTCAGACTTTTGTGCAGTGTTAGTTAAATAAACATGAGTGCATCTTGATATGGTTATTTGGGCAGTCACTTGATCCTCTGTTTCAGCATTATTAATACTTCACTAGCAAGGAACCTCTTTCTAAAGACTTGGAGGCTTCATTTATTTGGATAAACATATAATATTTCACATCCTTTCCAAAGAGCAGTAAGAATGTTTTTCTTGGGAAATGTCTCATTCTCTTTCTTTATGGACTGTCCTGAATGATGAGGGAATTACGGCAAGACTCTGCAGATCAGTCTCAGTTCACTGCATAAACTTACCTGTGCTAGTGAAGAGGAAGGCTTGGTGTCCTAGGGATGTTCATTCTCTCTAGAAAAGATGGGTTTGCTTTAAAGATTTAAAGTAATATAATTAAGTTGGTTTAAAGAAAGAATTTGGTTTTGTACCTTGGATAAGCGGCAGGCATTTTAATTCAGATCCCTCTGCAACACAAACATGATACTTGGAGCAGGGGAAGGATCAAAACTGCATTAACGTAATCCCGATGATGTGGAGGATAGTACAATTTGTAGCTGATGACTTCTGAGAGTACTTCTTCACATTGTGTTGTTTGATGAACTTATCTTGTCTCTCAATTTCTTTATCTGGACAATAGACCACAGTGAAGACTATTTTAGTGGCGTTACTGAAGGTGAGGAACCTGACCTATGATGCCTGAAACTTGTAATTATCATCTTTGCTAAAGTCACAACAGAACTATCCCATCTTATTTTCTCACCTATGAGAGATGAGAATCCTCTGCTCGGGGGAGTGGGATACAATAGTGGTACCGCTCCATGCAGTGGAAAAGAATTCCACAAGATCCAGACAGACTTTGTGTGTGCGTGTTTCTTGTCGAGGCCAGTGGTATGGGTGTGCCTCCCCCATGTCCTTTTATTGCACACATTGTCAAGTTTTCAAGGCAAGGACAGGGTATTTGGAAACTGCCTGGTGTATGTGGATATTACTGGGAAGAACAGGGAAAAAAAGGATTTCTTTTTTAGCATGAAGCAAAATCCCATTATATTTGTGTTGGAAAGTGATGACCAAGTTGAAATACGCTTACATCCGACCTAGGGTCTGAAAGCCATCACTGGTGTTAAACCTTAAATAGATTACATGCTGCTGAATTCAGCCTTCAGGGAAAATGACTGGGAGGTTGGGGCCTGTTGGCCCAGAACGAAACAGAGCACAATGAAGTTTTCAACATCTTCCCCTTAGCCCTCAAGGCTCCAAATCCTGTGAAAAGGTTTGGTTTTGCTGAGTGATGGGTGTGATGATACTGCACTCACTGCTCTTAGTGCTAGCATTGGGATAAGACTGGGAAATGGAAGGGAATCAGAGTCCCGAGGATCTCCTGGGTCTCCTTCTCTGCAGTAGTAAGAAGGACAAGGAGCATTCTATTGCTCAGTGTGAGCTGCAAATGTACACATGGCTGGAGCTACAGCTATACGAATGCCCTTGGAGCACGCAAGATGTGTGGCCTTATTTTTACCTCTTGTTGTGTGCTACCTTTGACCTCCTGCATTCTCTTAGGTAAAGCAGACCTCTGATTTCCATTCTCTTCTGCTCCCTGTAGAACTGGAACACACGCTCCATTAGCTACTTTAAAAGTAGGTTAGGGGGTTGTCTGCTGCTTGAACATCAAAATAATGTTGTGACCTAGTAGGTGAAGTGGGTTTTGAGGCAATTGTGTCATTCCATGTATTTCTTGTGGAATAGATGTACTTGGTGTCATCAGCTGCTTGGATCTTCCTTCTCTGGTAGATTATCTGTTACAAGGTTAGGGCCTTGCACAGCATTGAGAATGTAGACGGGTAATAACAACTGTGATAGCGCTGTAGTGCTTATGCCACCCAGCTTTAAATGTTGCTGCTTGTTCATATTATCCTGCAATTCATTTACTTTGCTCTTTTGCTTGACTCAGAGCAGCATAGCTCTGACACAATTGTTTGCATCTCGGCCAGGGTAAGAAACAAGTATTTTCAGATGTCACCAGCCAACACAGTTCATCCAAATCTTAACACCTAGGCCCCTCACAGATCCTTCTGCTGGCAATAAGGGCAATTCTGGATGCTGTTACCCTGCTTTGCATGCGGTGAGGGGAATGAGTGTAGAGGGTTTTTTGGACCTGAAAATGGGGTGTTGTGATGAAGATTACTGATTCCCACAGGAGTGGTGATGGCACAAGGGAAGTGCATTCATGGTAAAGACAGAACTACAGAATTTCCGCTCTCCTTTTTGTAGGTTGGAGTTACTGGGGTTTGAGCCTTCTCTTGCAATTGGGTTATTATCAATATAGGAAAAGCAACATTGAAGGTTGGACTTGATGATCTTAAATGGCCTTTTCCAGCCTAGTTGGTTCTATGAGTCTATAATTACTTTTGTCAAAACAGGTGCAGTCTGTTGCTAGCTCTTCATTTATAGACAAGTCTATGGTGAAAGAACAAGTGAATTTGTGGTGTGTCAACTCTAAATCCTTCTGCTTTAGTTCTTTTCAAAGAGCATGCAAAGGGTACAAGAGAATAAAGTTCAGTGGAGGGAAAAATATACTGATGGCGTGAGGTGTCCTTTATACATACATATGACTGTTGGCATGAAGTGTCCTCTATACATATATAAGACTGTATTAACTGCCTGATGGTTTATTTACCTTTTCTGTGATTTTAAGAGTTGGCCTGCAAGCCTCATGAGAAGTTTACTTTCACATGGAGAACTGGAGCACATGTAGTTTATAAATGTATTTCATAACATGAATTGTTGGTTCACTCCAGGTCTTTTTACTAGTAGTAGTTTTTGGCTTCAGTTTTCTTGTGGTAACAGATATGTCACTCTGAAATGACTAAGGGCATTGAATGTTGTTTCCCAGACAGTGAAGGACAAATCAAAATGCAGTATGAACAGGCACACCCAGTGTTGCATATCTGTGATCATTACATACAGGGCTTTGCTCTTGGGAACGTACTCAGAGGCAGAGTATTGTTTCCAACACCAGCACATTCTGTTGTGACCAGAACTGGATGTAAATTTGTCAGTATTTCCCACTCCTAATATCTTTTAGTTAAACAGTGGTTAAAGGAACATATACACACAGCAAATTCTGCTGGTGTTGCAGAAATTGCACACGTAAGGATATTTGTTTTAATGATCATTCACAGCTTGAGGCCTTATGAAGTTCCTTGCTCAGGTGCTGAGCACCCTTGTTTCTCCATGAAGCCAGTGCAGGACTGGAGGCTGAATGAGCACTGCCCTAATTCATGTAAAAGCACCAGTTCTCTTGCCTGGGTTCCAGTTCAGACTCCCATATGGGTGCCCTGGCACCTGAGAACCAGTTGTTGGAGCTGCTGTGGTCCCTGTCCCATGCCAGGTCTCCCACATAGCCAGGCTGATCCCCTTGAGCAAAGAGCATCGTGGGACATGCCTGTGGTGGTGTTCTGAGCTTAAACCTTTAAATATCTGTGTGTAACTGGATTTCATATCACTTAAATATATATATATTTCTTCCTCCTGTTTTATTTTGTCAAAGGCCCAGTTAAAACTGCCATTCAGTGGTCACATATTGAGATGCATTTAGGCACAGAAAGACACCGCAGGTTTCAGAAGTACTTACTATTTAGAATACAATGTTTTCCCACATCCAAGTCTCTTCTCTGTGCCACATAAAACAACCCCTGCTGAGAGAAAAGAGCAGATGGATTCAAGTGCTTTATACCAGCGACTTTCTCACTCCTTAGCCGACGTTTAGCTGAAGTGTGTGAGGCTCTTAGAACTTGCTCTCAATTTCAGCTCAGTAATTCATTGTTTTCTTTCCCTGGTCTTCAGAAATCATGAAGAGAAAGCACATAATATGTTTGTAATTCAAGTACCACTCTCTAGTCCTACTCCTTTTAGCAAGATTGACAAGAAAACTGCTATTTAGATCATGGAGGAGCTCTCAAATTCATTGAAGGTGCCATGCAGGGATACTCTCTGCGTTTACTCAGCAGCACTTTTTGCTTCTGAGCATCAAAATGAATCCTTAGCAGAAAAGAATGACATTTGTCTGTGACAAATGCAAACCTGAAATCTTTCAGTGTTATGTCTAGAACTGGGAGGTAACTTTATTCACTGTACAGACCACGTTTAGTTAATTTAAATCTTTCACAGCTCTTTTAGGATGTGACATTTTAGGTTTCCTATATAGGTCATCAGTATAGCTTATAGATGATGAGGAAGACTGAAGGCTCTGATTTACAGTGTGAATTCGCTCGCTGCTACACTACTATGGTATCTGACATTACAAGGCAAAGAAGTTAAACACTTGTAAGGAAAGATTGCTTATAGAACTGAAGAAAACACTGGCAGACATTTCCTTTCCCTGCACGTGGGTGTGTCTGACAGATGCACATTTGCCATATTCATATCCATCAAGATGATTAATTGCAGTGCTTTGATGAATCCTAGTGTGACCAGAGATAATAAGTCTTTGTAAATATTACCAGGTTTCGGGTGGGGTTTTTGTTATTATTGGGCTAACCATATTAAGAGTTCACATTAAAGCTGCAGTTCCTGGAATTTGGTGATTTAATTACTTTATATTTTCTCAAACCATGTACCTGGCATTTGTTATAGAATTATAGTGTAGAAATGGGAGTGAGAAGGATGAGGGGTATCTGAGAATGGGACAGAAGTGTGAATGTGAGCTTTTATGAAGGAAATGAGGGGGAACTTCAGAGCATTGATTGAAAATGGATGAATTAGAACTGATAGATTTGTTGACTCTTGGAGGGAGTTAGAAGCTGAATTGATGCAATAAAGGAATCTGACCAGGTATTTAATTATTAGTCTGCTGACATAAAATCTCTGGTTTTCTAGGCCTATAACTCTAATAACACAAACAAAAATAAATGTAGGTTCAATTATTTAGCCTCTAAAGCCACATTAGATTAAATGGGTTATTCTGTAAGTGTTCTGTTTCAGCAGACACCTCCGAGGTATGTGTTAATTGAATCTATCTTGCTCCTTTCATGTGGATCATTGACGGAGTAGGCAATAGGAAATGGTGCATTAAGGAATACATCTTGTCCTTTTATAGTGACAATATCTGTAAACAGTAATGCATCTGTACAGAAATGGGCAGTATTAATAATTCATGAAGCATTTTCAGCCTTCTAACTCTTCTAACACTAGAATAAACTTGATGGCTGATCACAATCTTGTTTGCCCAAGGAAATGGTAAATCCCCCATTCCTGGCAGTGTTCAAGGCCAGGTTGGACTGGGCTTGGAGCAAGCTGGTCTAGTGGAAGTTGTCCCTGTCCTTGGCAGGGGGTTGGAACTTTATGATCTTTCAGGTCCTTTCCACCCCAAACCATTCTGTGATTCTATGGTAAGATAAGGCCTTACACAGCCAGAGAACTGCCTACAAAATAGCCCATTTAGCACTATCATTAATTTGGGAGTGTCATTTTTATGGTCAACAGACACTGATCTCAGGCTGATTCTCTTCTCTGTTATGCATTCTGATTCCTCACTTGCAGGGCTGCTGATTCATGTGCAGCTGTGCAGTAACTTGGACCACCCCTTAGACTGAGTCCCCTGAAAAGCGCTTCTCTTAAGGAGGGCTTATGTTGCAGCTGAATCAGTAAGCCAGCCGGTGTCATAGACACACAACTGCATAAGTCAACAGAAAGGTGAGGGCAAGAATGGTTGATTAAAGGTAATGAAGACTTCATGGTATTTTGTTGAGGGGGGACTTTTGGATACTTGCTCTGCTTGTCCCATAGTAACAACAGCAAACCATCAGAAGACAGGGATTTAGAGAAATTCCAAGATTCAGGTTTGAATCAGCTCACCAATTTGCCCACTAATGCTTTATTGCATGTAAAACATCCTCAGTGCCTCTTTGCTACAACTCAAAAGTAGGCTCCTGTGACGTGTATCATGTCACTAAGAACATGCAGGGTTGTAGGCTCCTGTGACAGATGTTGGCACAGACAGCCAGCCTGTCCATCTGAAACACTTTAAAGGATCTGGGCTTTAAGGCTTAATTGTATTACTATGTTATAGTAAAGCCTTTGTGCAAAGCTGTCACCTCCAGTGGACTGTAGGAGTTCAAACGGATTTGAATGACTACAAAGGTTTAAGGTTGGAACAGCTGCTGTGAAGTTGGGTGATGTCACACTGCGCAGTTTGAATCTGCAACCCTGACTTGTGATTAGAACATTTTTCCTACTAAAAATCACACTGAGCCAGTAAGAGAACAAAAAATTCCTCTGTCGTTCCCAGGGAAGTTTGTTAAGGTCCCTCAGTGATTCCAAAGTACAAATTCCACTGAGAGCCACATCTGAGCTTTCAGAAATCTCTTAAAGGTTTGTACTATTTAAGCTTTTCAGGGAAGCTGTGAGTGCCTCACTAAAGAACTGCTGATCTGTTATAGAGAAACTATTTCATCAAGAGTCAAGACTGAGACAATCGAGTAGCAGTCCCTTTTCACCCCCGTTGTAGTGTGACTACTGACATTTAATAAAGTTAAACTCTCACCATTATTGTGCTGGTGACTGTTTCAGCTGAAACACCAGTTGCTTCTAAAACTGGAGAACTAAATAATCTTATCCTAATCTGATCCCTCTGGCTTTTTACATACCCCGTTACCCTCTGCACATTGCTGGGATCTTCTAGTAGAAATAGGTATCTACTGAAGTTACAGAACTTTTATACAGGAAGAAATATTCTGCTTTATATTTTAATCTTTAATCTACCTTGTTGTTGAACTTTAGTTGTCAGCAGAACTTAAGCTGCCTTGCTGTTGACTTGAAGATCTGTGCCTTTGCAAAAAGGCAACTGTGTTAACGGCTTAGCACGTCTTACAAACTAACACTTAACTTTCCCCTTCTTTGCTTGCAGCAGCAATGTCAGTAATTGCAGTCTAGTAAAGCTGCATGGAAAATTATATTCAGTGCAGCCATTTGGAAAAGATCCATTTCCTTGCAAAACAGATCATATAGCTCTACATATCCAGGCAGAAAGTACTGCTCTAGAACGATCCGTCACAGCTCCGAGGAAAGGTTTTGGTGTGGTCATAGACTCATATTGATTAAATTCTTTTCTAACACTTGATTTACCCAGGGCTTTTTTCCCAGTGGTGATTTTCAGTGGTAGCACTGGTCTCTGTGTGTGTGTGTGTGTGTGAGTACTTTGGGGAGGTTTGTTAGTAATATATAAACCCATCAACTTTAGTTTTGCTGTGATATTGCTTACGTGGAATTTGCCTTTGCAGAAATTGGTACAAACTACTGCTATGTGAACTTTGTGGGGTTGGATCCAAGAGCTTTCTTTTCACTCTGGGATTTGGAAGAATCACTGCCATCTTTAAAGTAATCCTGTGGTTTCCAGCTCTCTCAGAAGCCAAGGGTATCTTGGAGCATTTGGGTAAGAGGTATAAAATTCACAAATCAGTCATGAACTGAAACTGGTGCCCAGCAGTCATTTACAAGTGATTCTTGAATATTTATTTTGTTTTAGTGGGCTCTGAGTTGTCTCAGTAAAATATAAATAACCTCGAGATGGACACAAATAGGGGCTTCCTATAAGAAGAATATTCTTGCAAGGAATCCTGCATTATTTGGAGCATGTTAATTCTGTTCCAGACGTGTTTCACTATAACTGATTCACAGATTGTGAAGAGAAAGCAATGCACAAGCAGCAACTGTAGCTCTCACTATTTTTGTTGCTCTCATTAAAGGGTGTGCTGGCGTCAACTACAGATGTGATGATATTGCCTAGGGAATCAAGGCAGGAGAAATAAATGAGCCAATCCATTGTGGAAAAAATCCCAGATCCATTGTAAAGAGACCTCACAGATCCATAAGTACTCAGTCCAAGTGAGGAACTGAGGCTTAAACCTCAGGAGTGGCCAGAGCTTTAAATAGTGAAGTGAAAAGGTCATATCAAAGTGGCTTGTAGCCAGTATCAGTTATCCTGGCTTTTCAATTCACTGTCAGTCACAAAGAGGGAACACACACATGCTGGAAGAAGGTAGTTGTTGCAGATTAAAGCCCCATGTGAAATGAAAGAGCCATCAAAATTCTTTATAGCTGCTTGGCATGAGCTCTGATAACACAAAGTTATCTTTTATTATTACTTTTAAATGCAGCCATCTCCCACAGCCTAAACAAAAATCCCACAAGACAATAGGGCCAGCCTCTGAGTACAGTGTGTTTAATTGCTGTGCACAGCTGGAGCTGGCAGGTGAAAAGTACAGGCATGATTGCTTGCTCAAGTAGAAAGGTTTAGATTTCTTCTACTTTTTTGCTGTTTGACTTCACCTCATCTTTTAGCTGCAGAAAGGATTTTGTTATTTTGCTGTATTTTAGGTCTTTTTAACCCTATTTTATGTACAGAGGATCAGTTTTTCTTTTGCATATCTCATTGGCAAGAATACAAAAGGCACAATTCCCTAGTGCTGGGGTCACAGTGTGCCAGACTGATCAACATTCAAGCTTAAAACAGAATACTCATGAAATGTATCTCTTGTTAAACTCACACCTAACATTTTTGACTCATATAAAGCCAACCCTGTGATGACAGTGTTAAGACAGATCTGTGCACATGAGCAGAGATCCATAGCTCATTCTCTTCAGGGTTATTGTGCTTAAAGAACTGAGGAGTTTACACACAAGGAAGAATACAAGATGCTTTTTTAGTCATATTTTCTCTCTTGCCAGTCATCAAGTAGTATACAGTAATATTATTTGTTACGTTTAAATCAACAACACTGTTTTGCTCAGGTATTGATTCTTCCGTGCTCTGTGTTTTATGCAGGTTCAGGTCCTGTTGTTCCTGTTTGAAGTCAATAGGTGCTCTTAGTGCACAAAAAATGCACCCTGGAATGTTATGCAATCAAATTGGGCTTCCACCTGCCCAGTCTTCAAGGAAACATCAGCAGCTGGTGATGGGAAGAGGCCTCATTAGTAAGAGGTAATTACTTTTCCTTTGATGCTTTTCAGTGCATTTGCTAGCACATTACAGTCAGCATGATCCCAAGATTCAATTGCTGAGATAGCTGCATATATACAAGATGATGCTAGTAGTTGTGACAGACAACATTCTAGTTCAGATTTGAAACGTTTGGTATTTATAAAGATGCTGTTTCCTTTGAATAGCTTTGGACTAGGTGTTATGCACACATGCATGCATAAAGACACATATTTTCTTACATCCATTCATTAAAGTATGATTGATGTTGAAACACTCAGAACATTTACTTTCCTGGATTTTCTTTTTGCAAAACCTCAGGCATGATCTTATTGACTTTTGCCTTTGATTTAGATGAAGGGGAAGAAAAATATTGTAATGTTATTGTGTTTTATGTGCCTCTACAGTCAAATACAGCTGAAAGCACGTTCCATGCTGTTTGCCTGAGTGTGTACCGTGCCCTGTGCATAAACTTGAAGTCAGTGTTGCCTGGGTCTAAATTAATTCAGGCTGACAGATGCTGTCATGCATTCAGTGTAGAGGGAGTTCACTGAGATTTTGAAGTTTTAAGTTACCAAATACTGAAACACAACTACTATTACAGTATTAACAACTGGTTTTAAGTGATAGAAAGCCCTAGTGTTTGATCAAGCATGTAAATGCAAGATGTTCTCCCAACAATTAACATAAAGGACCCAGAAGAAAAACCTCCCAAAGAGAATTTTAAAGGAAAATCATTGTTTCTAAAAATGACAATGTCAACTGGACTCAGTTTTTCCACTTGAATTTCTGCCAAAATTATTCCAATTTTTGTCATTTCCCTTTTCTTCTGTATATTTTTGAATCGGACAGCTGTGGAATTTCCTGTTTTGTTTTTGTTTTGCTGCTGTGACCAAGGTCATTGTAGAAAACCAAAGTTTCAGTAAAACTTGAACAAAACCATGACTTTCCCATGTCTGCTCTTTCTCTGACCTACTGTTTCCTTTTGTGGTGCTCTAGTCTTTTCCAGAGTCTGCGTTTTCACTCATCCTCATATTTATTCTCCTCTGCCTTCAGTTTGGGCACTCCTGATTTTGCTCTTTCATCTGTTTTCCTCTTCAGTTTTCCTTTTTTGTTCTTTTCTTTTATTGCTCAATCTTAGTTTTATCTCATTCCATCTCTAATCCCTTTTGCCTCCTCTGTCCGCATACCTCCATGGCCACAGTCATAAACTCAGGATGATCTGATTCCCAAATGCCAGTAGCTGGACATGCCTGGGGAGGGCTTCACCGTGTGGTCTGACACTGCCCCTGTGCTTTTGCCTGTCCCTGCATATGGTGGATACCAGGAGGAGCCACAAGTTATCCCCCTGTCCCAGGGACATATCCCTGACCTGGTGAGACAGGGGGAATGAAGGGATGATAACTGGAGAAGGAGGCTCAGTGTTGCTGAGTGAATTCCCCTCCTCTCCACATAAGGCAAGCAGCACCAGGTCTTCACCTTTTCTTGGGGGCTGCAGTGTCCCAGCCCCATTTCCTGCCTGCAGAGGAGCCATCCTTGTCCTGCTAGTAGCTGCAAAACCCTGGAGCTGGCAGCAATTGGATCTTGTTGTCCACAGTGAGACTTGTTTCTGCCTGCAGGGAGCAATCCCTATTGCAGTGAGGGACTTATATCTTTAATTCACTGCTGTCCTTATCTGAAGAGATCCATCAAAGACAGACTGTGTACTTTCCACGTGCTTTGGATTGTCCCTTGGTGAGTACCCATGCACAGGAATTTGATTAAAGCTGCGTGATTTTTCATTCTCTGAACATTTGCAGCTATAACTGATACAGCTGTAACAGAAATTCCTGGGTGAGAAAATGTGAAAGTAGTTCAGAGTGGTTTCATTTTTGAGTTGTGCATGTTCATAGATAAATTTCAGATTAAAAAAAAAAAAAAAACAAAAAAAACCCACTTTTTCTATGGCCTTTAAGATTTGTTTCCCCTGACACTTTTCCATAACTATTACTTCTGTTGCTGTCTCTACCATTTCACCAATCTGTAATTTACCAAGCCTGCAATGAGCAGTTGTGTTTACTGTAGGAGTTTACACAGAACTTTGCTACCTTCAGTCTGCTCCAAAGGAGGGACAGGACAATCAAGCTGTTGCATTGCTCAGTGGTAAGCAGAGACCCCTGTCTGGGAGGGTGCTGTGGGTTCAGGCTGCAGCTGTGCTGCGCAGTTAATCTTCAGGAAGGTAAGACTTGTGATTGCATTGGTAGGAAGAGCTGCAGTGGGGGTGAGGAATGCTTTTTAGGTCTGATGTGTGGTAGAATGCTTGAAAAGTAAGAATATGCCCATATGTCTTTGTTTTCTTGGCACCTGTTTTTCTCTGTTGTGTTCTTCCTCATTCCACAGGACCTTCCATGAAAGATGCAGTCGTGGGAGGAACGGGTGGGTTAGAACTAGTTTTAGTTGCACCCGACCTCCAGCTCTTCCTGCAGATACGTTACTCCTGCTCTCAGTGCTCAGCTTTGTAGCATCTGAACCGCAGAGTGATAGTGTATTTTCTTCCTCAGTGGCAACAGGGCCAGTCTTAGAATATCCCTGGTGAAATCTGAAAGCAAATGGGGATATCTTCATGTGGTTTCATGAGGAGATGATTCCAACAATCATTACCTGAATTTACTTGTGAACTTAGGACAGGTAAGACAAACTTTCACTTACAACTCTACCCCCAGTAGAAAGGTTCCTGGCCTTAGAGCAAGTATGTGACATACAGTGAGGATGATCTAGGGAATTGGATCTGCTAGGGAAGGGGGATCTGCTCTTTTGAGTGGAATGACTTGATGCTACTGAGGAAGTGCTTACAAATATCTGTGTACATCAGCCCTTTTTCAACAGATTTTGAAATTGCCTTCCATTATGTGCTCTGAAATCTGCTGCTTTTCTCCATCACTACAATAAAAATGATGTTCATGGTAAGTGCTGAAAAGTGTATTATTAGTTCTCTTCCTCCTCCATGGAAATTATTGGGCTTTTACCCTCATCAGTGGGATATAAGAACACTGTATGAGAATAATAATGGCTTATTTATTCATCCTTAAAATATAGCCCTTTCTGTTTGTTTTTAAGAGCTTATTCAGAAAATAAGCAGAGCATCTGGAGAAAATACATTTGCCAGCAACAGCTTAAATGGGTGTTTGTCAACCACTCTTAAAGCAACGTTTGGGAGGAGCAAACCTTGCAATGTTTTTGACTCATTACTAACTGTTAGGCAGGCTTTATTCAGGTGAAGAAAGATGTGAATTTGGACATTTACACCAATTAGTAGTATCCACCCTGTATCATCTGGTTTAGTTATTCTCAAGTCTTCTAGCCTTAAAACTGCTGACAAGTATATATATTGGTTGTTTTCTTTGGACCTAAAAAGCATATGTATACACTGAGGACAAATGCAATTTAAGGTCCTGCCTGCTTCATGACAAGGATGTGCCCAGCTCTTATTTGTTAGCCTTCCATGCAAAACTATGTGAACTCTCTTTTGCCTGCAGTACCTCCCATTTCTCAGCATTGTGGTCACATACAAGACATGCTGGTGACTGCTGGTCTCAAGCAAATGCTTCTTTGATGCACCATGACATCTATTCCAGAATGCTGGGTGGTGATGGGAGAATGCAGGCCTTGAAATGTCCATCTTTAAGAGATTTATTCTCATCAGGGACGGCTTTCTTTGCTCTCTGTCTTATCTTTTTAATTTGGCAAGGATAATGCAAACACTGCTCATCATAGCTTGCAATATATATCTTCTTGTCACAAGCAGATGTTGCTGCAGAATAGGATAATGGGTTGATGCTGGTCTGATTGCTCTACTGAGTTGTCAAGTCACAAACAAGCTATTTAATCTTTCTGCTTTTGAATTGCCCTTCAGTCCCCTGGACCATCCTAGCAAATTCTTCCCTCTCCCCCACAGCAGCTCTGGCATAGAGGGATGGGCTGTCCCGCACAGATTTCTTCTGCCTATGGTGCTGCATCCTGGAGTGTCAGGGATGCTGGGCTCCAGCTCTCTGCCATACAGCTCAGTGCCTGGCAATAAGTCTATTGTGTTGAAATGCCACAAATTACAAGTGTTGCTCTGGTTTAGGCTGCATGAACGTTGTTATTTTGTTTCTAGATAGCATAATGAAGTAAGGTGTATTTGCTCTCTAACTGAGTGCTAGGGTAGGCTATGAGGATATCTATACAGCAACAGGGATTCCCTCTTTGTGCCCCATCCCTGGCAGTGTTCAAGGCCAGGTTGGATGGGGCTTGGAGCAAGCTGCTCTAGTGGAATGTGTCCCTACCCATGGCAGGGGGTTGGAACTGGACGAGCTTTAAGGTCCCTTCCAACCCAAACCATGCCATGATTCTATGACATGTGGCTGTGGAAGCAGACCAGTCTTCTCTTTATTGTCTCTGGCAGAGGTTTTTGCAGGTGAGGAGTCACCACAACAGCCTGGGAGCATTTACCTGGCCCTGTTTAACTGAAGTCATGGTCCAACAACTCCTCCATAATTCATTCTCACTGGGTTGATCCCAAGCCCCAAAACATCAGCACCATTTCCCATAGCCTCAGTGTGTTTTGTACTGGGCTTCTGATAGAAGTGAGGTTGGAGAAGCTGCCATCCCCACTGCTCTCCTTCCTGAACAAGGGCAGGAGTTTGCCAGCATGCCCTTTTGGGTTTATTTGGTGATAGCCATTGCTCAGACTCCCTTTGTCTGTGGCTGCTTGGCAGGCAGTGTAATTTATCCTAGTTTAATGTGAGGTATTAAGCCTTTAGTGCAAACCTGACTGTTCCCTTTTAGATGGGACCAATGTTCTGTAAGAAGAACAGCAACGAAGTAAAGATCATTGTATATGTTGTCCTTTCTGCTGTGTTTTAACTGAACACTATCTGCTGAAAGGCTTAAGCCGCTTTGGAGGGACATCATTCTCCTCTCGTCACTGAAGCACTTCTGGAAAACATTAGTTTCTGTTTTAAAGCAGAGAGATGCATTTGGAT